TGGAATCATGAAATATTTAGTATAGCATGTGTTCCTTTTACGTCCACCAGATGGCGCTGGAAACATTGAAATGGAATCATGAAATATTTAGTATAGCATGTGTTCCTTTTACGTCCACCAGATGGCGCTGGAAACATTGAAATGGAATCATGAAATATTTAGTATAGCATGTGTTCCTTTTACGTCCACCAGATGGCGCTGGAAACATTGAAATGGAATCATGAAATATTTAGTATAGCGTGTTGCTTTTACGTCCACCAGATGGCGCTGGTTTTCAAAAAAGCATGTTTTTACAAAAAATCATGTTTTTACCTGTCACAGGTGTGACATCTATATAATATATGTATATAAAAACATTCACGTATTTGAATGCACTGTTGTGTCAAAATTTCAAAGCAATCGGTGAAGAACTTTCAGAGATTAGCGATTCTGAACAAACAACCATTACATTTTTATTTATATAGATATTTATATTATTTATATTTATATTTGTGTTAAGCCCTGCTAAAGTGAAACCAACCTTTAGATGACCCAAACTGTTAACTCCAACTGTTTTGGAGGGAAACTGAACATTCATCTTTGGGTGGGCTTTTTCAAGTATTATGATTGGTTAAGATCCTGTACGCCCAGAGTATAAATTGAAATCACTTTAGCAGCCAATTGAAATAAAAAATGATGCTGGAAGTCATTCCGTGGTAGTAAATGCCCACCTTTCTCCTTCCTCTCCAAGTATTGCCTCGCACCAGGATTCAGGATAGATTTTTTTACGTGTTCTAGAATTGTAAAGGCATTATTACTATGGCTATAGCTGCCGATGCATTTGGGGAGTGTGCCCCAGGTTTTCAGACCAGCCTATGAAGAGAACATGGAACTGGGAGCCACGGATTGGAAAAAAATGCTCCAAAGGAAGCATCATTCAGGTTAAACAGCTCTCCCTTGGATGATAAGAATATTCTGAACCAGGGGCAAGCTTCAAACTTTTTTAGCAAGAGATTTTCTGCCTGGTTGCTGGGTGGGTGTGGCCATGGTGGGCATGGCCTAGTCAGCCTCCTGCACCTTGGTGGGGGAGGGGCGTTTTTGCCCTCTCAGGGCTCCGGAGGCTTTTCTCGAGCCTCTGGGAGGACGAAAATGGACTTCCCAGGCTCTGAAGGTCCTCTGGAGGCTGGAAACGGGCCTGTTTCTGGCCTTCCCAAACTTCCGCTAAGCCCATTTTTCGCCCACCCTGAGCCTCTGTGTGTGCTTCACACTTACCTGCATCCAAAGCGGGCCACATGGGGACTCCTGGGAGGGGAGGGGTGGGGTGGGCAGGGCCAGCCAGGAGTGGGATTTGGGGGTTCTCCAAACTGCACAGAATCTTAGCTACAAGTTCTCCTGAACCCCTGCAAACCCCCAGCCTGAACAGTGAAAGGGCCTGGTCCAAATATCCATTCTTTTCCCCAAGTTCTTCCACAACAGAGCTAAGCCTGAACTAAGCCTTGAGGGCTGGATGGATATTCAATATTATACAAATTACACCTTTTTTAAAAGCTAGGCAGCTTGGCTCAGCATGACAGTGCCTTCCACGAGGCTTTCCTGAGTTCTTAAAAGACATAGGCCATATGCCTCCAATCTCCGTGGCCATAACTTTTGCATACAGTAATGCAAATTAAGAAATATTTATTGGGATGTACAATTGTACATAAGGGTAAGGCAAACTCGTTCCCCATCCAGATTGTACCCAAGCGATTTCAGTTAATTGACATCCCGCACACACTCATATGCCGTTTGGGTCTCCTTCATGTCATCCCATCTGGGATTGGCAGGTGGGAATGAGGACAGAATGAGCTGCTGGTTTCCTGATGGATGTGCCCAGGGCTTCAAAAACTGCAGGGGCCTCTTCATTTTCTTTGCATCTGGTCACCCAAGACCCTGCTGCAACTATCTTTTCATTCCATTTTAATTAACTAATCTCAGACCATTTCTTGGAAGCCGCCATCAAATTTAATTAATTCTCCCAAATGAACGTTATCACTTGGATTAACACATCTTCAAGTTTTAGCACCCAACACAGGACAGGGCTAATAGAACCCTGAGCATTCATGATTACAGAGGTTTTGATAAAAAAATTGATTTGTGGATACCATAAGCAGGAAGGAGGTGATATAATTTACCCTGGATTTTTAGGATGCAATTCAGTGAACTCTTTATTGAGATTAAAGGAAATGAGATTTACAAATACAGATGCTTAGTTTTAAAAAAATAAGATTGGCCAAAACACACACACACACACACACACACACACACACACACACACNAAGGGCGGCATACAAATAATAAAATACAAATACAAATACACTGCTTCACCTTCACAAACATCAACCAAACATAGCTCAGACAAACAGTAGGATTTGTACTTTGCCTACAGAGCCAGCTACGACCCCTACACAATCCCTACATGGCCCCATGGGAATCTGACAACAGCCAATAGAATACATGTTCTTGCACAGGAACAGGAAGCTCAAGTGCAAAGCCCAAGAGAAGGTATAAATACCCCCCACTCTCAACTCCATGGGGTCAGCTGCCCAGAATCACATGTGCTTGGGGGTTCTGCTTCATCAATAAATGGACCCTCTTTCCAATCAGCTTCCAGCCTCCATTTTGTTTCCAGGGCCTTTCTCCCAGCTTGGAACTGAACCAGATGGATATTTCTTCCAACAGTGATCTCTGAGCTTGGTGGTTTTCTTGCAGATGTTTCATTGCGCCAACTAGGTAACTAGGTAATGAAACATTTGCAAGAAAACAACCAAGCCTAGAGAGCAAGAAGGAACCCTCAAGATAAACCATCAACATTCTCTAAGACTGAATCCCTGAATCGTGTTTTTTAAAAAGAGCCTTTTTGTAAACTGCCAAGATGCCTAACATCGGCTTTTTCAAACAGTTTCAGAGAAGTTGTAGATTTTTGTAGGCTGTTCCACGTAAGGGTGTTTTGATGCCATGAAGTATTTATTTATTTAGAAAATGTATATGGCTGCCCAGAGTTCCTCTTAGTAGAGTTGGGTTGTCATGTCAATTGGTTTAATAATAGATAAGTGCTTTAGATCTGGTGCAGAGGATTTGAGGAGGAATGTCAGGTTGAATCGTTCTTGCCCCAATTCATTTTTTGAGGTATCCATTCAGGGGTGGGATTGAAAAATGTTAGCAAGGGGTTCTCTGCCCGGTTGCTGGCTGGATGTGGTGGCCTACATGGCCTCCTATACCCCGGTAGGGGGGCATTTTTCCTCCAGGAGGGCGAAAACAGCCTTACTCGGGCTCCGGAGGCCCTCTAGAGGCCAGAAATGGGCCCGTTTCTTGACTTCCAGGAGGCCCATTTTTTGCCCTCCCAGAGCCTCCTCTCTGCACTTTCCTGGTATGATGAACGGGCCGCGTGGAAACTCCTGGGAGGGGAGGGGCAGGGTGGGCGTGGCCAGCCAGTCCTTGCAACAACTGGCGAACCGGCTGCAAAATTAACATCTGGTTCGCCCAAAACGGTGTGAACCGGCTGAATCCCACCCCTGTATCCATTCCTCCTTGAAGTCCTAGCTTTAAGTTCCCCATAACTGAGCAAAAAGAAATGGAGTTATATGGAAACATGAATAAAAGAGATATTGTTGACTTATGAATATACAAAGATACATGCAGTATATCTGAACTGGTAAGTTCCTCCAGAATCCGTTGGCTAAAGTTCTTAGCTGAGTAGAATTAAAGATGAGCCTGAATTTCTCCTGCCCTACGGACAAACCGGAAATCACTTCCGGTTTGCTCGTAGGGCCAGTTTTTGCCCTCCAGAGCCTTTGGGGAAGCCTCCTGAAGATCCCTGAAGGCTCTGGAGGTCGAAAATCGGCCCTACGGACAAACCAGAAGTCACAATTCCTGAACTTCCGGGTTCCCCGTAGATCCTTTTTTCGCCCTCTGGAGCCTTCAGAGGGATTCAGGAGGCTTCCCTGAAGGCTCTGGAGGGCAAAACCCGGCCCTATGAGA